TTTTTTTTTTTTTTTTTGTTTTTTTTTTTTTTTTAATTTTGTTCTGTTCTCAAAAAAAAAAAAAAACATACATCAAATGTTTGTTAAATAGCTATAAAAAACATGCTCCATCCTTTTTTTTTTTTTTAATATTTTTACAAAATATTTTACAGCGCGGGTGTCTCGACACCAAAAACAAAAAGTTAACGTTGGATTTTTTTCTGTCTCCAATTTTTGGGGTGTTTTTATTTTTTGCGCGTGTGAAGAAGGGTTCAGAAGTACATCCGCCCACCGTTGCGTGGAATTCCACAATAAGTAAAGTGATGATGACATGACTTTAACAATAGAAAGATGTGATGTCACATCAGAATTTCCTCTAAAAAAAATCTTAAACGACACAAAACAATATCCTCGATAAATGTTTTCGGCATGTTGTTAAATGCGGTTCAGGCACCAAAATTAATGACCAAAACGTCAGCAATGGATTTACGATGTTCAGTTTTTCACATTTTAATTTTTGTTCGTGTTGGCGTCGGGGTATTCCGAAGCGTATCCACGCATGTGACATTCCACGACCGAGCCAGTGATGAGTGTTGATGTGATTTTTACGTTGATTTTTAAAAGTCGTAACGTATCGTAAGAAAATCGAAATTGTATCCGCGAGCGTGTGACGTCGCTCATCCAAGATTAGTGAAGTGATGACGTGATTTTACGAAAAACCTAAGCTGTGATGTAACACGAAAAAAAAAATCGTGTGCGAAATATACGTCGCAAAAATACATTTTCTCTCCATTTCTATCAAATAATCACCTCGATATTTGTGAGAAAGAGATGTAAGCAAGTGGGGTTTTTTTTTTGTTTCTAAGGACAGATCGACATTTTTTTGTCAACGTATTTTTTTCGCTATATTATATATATATATATATATGTGTGTGTGTGTGTGTGTGTGTGTGTGTGTGTGTGTGTGCATGAATTCAGCGGTCAATAGAGTTATCGTCAGCGCCAAATGTCCTGTCAGCATCCATCAACAGTTGTCACCAAATGACCTGCGGCAGCAGGTCCCGTGAGGTGTCCTGTGATGTCGAATGAAAAGCAAGCGTTTACCTCCTGGTCAGAACCTGCTCAGTGAGCAGTTAGTGCACCGCACAACTGCCCTTTAGAAGGGAAGGGGGAAAGAAAAGAGGGGAGGACACTTTATCTGGTGGGACAAACAATGTCCAAAGGAACACAAAGCATCGAGGAGTCGAAGGAGGAGGTTCCCACAGAGTTTAGGGCGTCCAGTGGGGAGAGAGGTGACAAGGCCACAAAGAGGTCATACGAGCCTCAGTGCCCAAGGCAAGAATACTGCCAGCCCTCGTAGGTTTTGAGTGAAATTTAGCCGAGGTTCTCAATGTATACCCAAGCCTTTATCTGTCAAGGAACCATAATTGGTAACGTCAATCATAATTTTAGACAATTTTACATGAATGAAAGTGCATTCTGGACAGAGAAAAAAAAAATCTGAAAGCGAAAAAGGCAAAGGTGGCAAAAGTGCTCAGACTCTGTACTCGAGTACACCAAAATAAAAGTATTGATTCAACTTGTGTACTTATGCAAAAGTAAAAAATGTCATTCCATAAAAAAGAAATGGCACTCTTATGATAACATACTTTTGCTTAAACATGTTCAGTCACTTATGAAATGACAACCAACACCAGCTGTTAAGATGCCAACAGGTGACAATTAGATCCTCTTGAGGGTGACACGCCGCCTCCGTGATAACGTGACCCGAACTTCTCAAGAAAACAAACGGCCATTTTTTGGAACTTTCAATGTGAGCCTTGCTTACAAACAAGGGGTCAACATTTAGCCCTCAATGCACGCTGACCCCGAGTATGTGGGGGTGGCTGTATTGGTGTTAGTGACCAAATTAACAACAGCTGACCTGATGTGGGTGTTAAGTGGATGCAGAGTTGTCATCAGAATGGCATTCTGGCACATCGCCCTTTGTCTTGAGGATAACAAGAGGCTATAAGCTCCTTATCGTCACATTACAATTATCACGGATGAATTGGGTCCGATGATACCCAGGGCCCCTCCCAAGACCCACTCGAATGCAGCCGCGCTTGGATTGTTTCCAGCTTCCCAGATGGATTTTATCATTTATGCAAGTCCTTTGGTGCGTTTTAGTGGTCGTTCTCCAATTAGGACTTTAGGGTTTTGGGATTAGGGTTCGATTTAAGGGTTAGGATTGGGGTTGGGGTTAGGGTTAGGGTTCGAGAGATGTGCTCAATTGGCTCAATGACACTCAACAAGTGCCCTAACATGGGGAAATCACAAGCCTCCTTCTGTTCGTGGTGGATGCTTTTCACAGTCTTTGCAATAAACTGAGTTGAAAGTGAATTTTGAGATTTGTTTCTAAATCCATTATCGGTGATGGCAGTTCAAGACTACGTGCAATGACTGACAACTATGTCAGATTGAATTGTAGTGATTTATCCTTCCATTTTCTAATCTGCTTTTTTCTCACGAGGGTCGCGGGCGTGCTGGAGCCCATCCCAGCCGTCTTCGGGCAGTAGGCGGGGGACACCCTGAACCGGTTGCCAGCCAATCGGAGGGCACACCTGGATTGCCAGTGTTTCAAACAGCAAGGCTGAAATTAAAGTATCTCTTTTGATGGGATGTCTCTCCACTTGTTGATAAGCTTTGGTGGGCATCCGGCCAAGAAGTGCAAACAAGAGCTTCCTGACATCTGGCATTCCCTTTGAAGACGAGCTGACTTGTGATGAATCACCAGTGTGACTCACTTTTAATGCGCTGGCCATTATGCCCTCGGTGTGAGTCCAGAGTGATAAATTTGTGTCTCCCAATGTTCTGGTGTCAGGCTGATCCTTGATTCATGCATGTGGAAGCGCCACTTCCACTGGAATGTTGTGAGTGTTTTCCAAAACAAGTTGCTAAATCAAAAAGGGACAAAGGGCATTCACCATTGATATCGAGAGCCCGATTCATTCCTTCGCCTCAGGCACGACTCGCGACGTCGACCCCCTATCGAGCGCCATAACAACCCCTTCAGACAATACCGCGCCAATTCATCCGCCGCGGCAAAGGCAGAGGAGTTTCCGGTGTGTGTGACCGTTGTCACTTTGTTGGTGAGCCATCAATCACTGCGGACGGTAAAAGGGACCAGACCAGCCCAGCGACAAATGTTTACACCACTTCTCTTTTGCAACATTTGGGAAAATGGTGCACCCGAGGGGGGGGGGGGGTAGCGAGAAAGGATAAGACACAATAAGACAAAAGACAGCAGGAGGGGTCCAACCCTGCAAACATTCCCAAGAGTGGCCATCATCTGTTGACGATGCCCCATGCGACGCCGCGGCGGGTTCTCCGATGATGGAGGCAACCTGTCGCGACCTCACAGCTTCTCCGATCTGAAGAGCAGAGCCTGCCGCGGAGGCGCCGACAAAATCTTTCAAAGCGGAACCTCGGGGAGCTGCCGACAATATCACTCGGGAGTGAAAGTGACAGCATGCTCAGGCTCATTCCTCTCCGCCGATCAAAACTCTTCCTGGGTAAACAAGGGGAAGGCCCATTATGAAGATGGAGAGGGTCACGGGAGGAGGAGCCATTCGGCCTCTGAGGGGCCCACCTTTGTTTTTGTACTTTGGGGGTCTTCTCAAAGGCTCAGGGGGAACTTGTTTTGTCACAGAGTGCACATGAGCAGGCAGAGTTGAAGTTCTAACGGGCTGTGCAGATTCAGAAATGGAGGAATATTGTCTGAAATGCACCCTGTTGGTCTAGAATCTTCCATTTTTTGAACACAGACTCTTAAATTGTATGAATGTGAAAAAAAAGAAACAACTGAGTAAGAGTGGTGTGGTGGCGGTGCGGCTTTTGGAGGCCCTACATCCGTCCTGGTTGATGGATTGTCAGATTTGAGGCGACGTGCTGGTGAAGCTGCCGCTTCTGGATATGGTGAATTGGCCCTCAGCAGAGTCGCCCGCTGCGCGAATGTTGCCGAGGTGGCGGTCAGTCGCGTCTCGTTAGCCTCACAGCATCATCGTTCGGAAAACAAGAAACGATTTCATCCTCTTGGCGGTTCCCTCAATGACACTTGTGGGCGGGTTGCCAGGTTTGCGCAAACGACACGCACACGCAAAATAAATAAATAAAACAAATGGCAAATTATCTTGAAAATGCAAAGTTTCAAATGTTAAACTGGCAAGACCTAAGTCGAGTCTGATGAATACCAAATTCTCAAGTTGAAGTCTGACTCGAGAATTGATCTTTCAAATGAACACCAGACGGTCAGTTGTGTTGAAAGTTAATTTTAAATGACTTGCAAAGGTGTGTGCAAAAACTGCAAAAAAAAAGAAAAAAAAATGCCCACACACCTGTAGGCATTTTTTTTTCTTTTTTGTGTGTCAGCAATTTCTTTCTGGCCATGATAGTTCAAAACAATGTCATGCTTTTTAAACAATTGCCTATACAGGAAGTCAGTTGGATGAGTTGCACTTTTCAATTGAGTCTGACGCTACTCTTCACCAGAAAGATTGTTTTGATTTATCAACATTTGGGACTGACACCCACCATGGCCAGAGAGCAACGTTTAGAAATGGCTGAGCGTTCACTGCTTTGGTTTTGTTCTGAATTAAACTTTGTACACCTGAAAGTGACTAACCTCAACAAACTACCACAGGGCAGAAGAATCACAGTCCAACGAACAACATAGAAAGCTTTTATTCATCTTCAAAAATACAGTGCTTCTCAACAAACCGTGTTCACCTCATTAGGCGGAGACAAATTGCGCCATCATAGATCAGTGCTTCCCAACAACCGTGCACATTTGTTGTGCCCGTTTCACTTCGTTGGCCCAAACTCCGGACGAATAATGTAGCTTTGTTGATCGATCAATGCGAGCGACGTCGCAGTGACAGGGCAGAACCATGAAGTGCTGTTCCACCACATGGCGGAATGTACAATTAACCCGCAGAGCCACCTGTTGCCATTCCCGCAACACGATAACGGCTTTGTGCTCAACCACACTCGGATTTGTCACAAAGTCAATTTGTGTGTCGATTGAAACATTATTTCTGCATCGAGACACTTTTCTGTGACATTTTTGTTTCGTGATGTGCCTCGGCTCAAGAAAGTTGGGGAAACACTGAAACAGCTCTGATGACATCAAGTCGGTCAACTTTCCTTCAGGTAAAAAACAAAACAAAAATGTCAACATTATTCTCTCCTGTACATGTACAAAAAGTATAAAAATCAAGTCAAATGATGCAATAGTCCAATTTTGCCTTCCCACTCTACCAGGGTCTCCACACAGAGTCTGAAGTGAGCGGAGGCGCACCGGGGGGCACGTAACAGCTGCCTTGTGCGCCCAAAGGTGCGAGAGCCGCACTGGGAACAAGAAACGCAAAATGTCCATCGGGAGTCGGGACCACCTTGTAGCTGCCGTGGAGATTCAGCGTGTCTGCCGGCGGTCGTGTCTGCGCGACGTTTTTGCAGGGAACCCGAGGGGTGTTGACGCCAGTTTGTCCGAGCGGGCCCGAGTGAGGCGTGTAGAAGTTGACCGCGTACATTTGGGAGACGCGGGCCGCCAGGTGGCTGAGCAGGCGCGTCCTGGCCTCAGAGTTGACCTCGTCACACGTGGACAGGTAACGGGTGACCTCGCCCACGCACTCACTGAAACCGGCCCGGTATTTACCCAGGACGGACGGGTCTGCGGTCGCGGCGGCTGTGGAGAAAAACACGTAGATCACATCGTTGCTACAAGCGCCGTCATGTTTGAGTGTATTACACCTTATGTTGCTAGCATATATGCTTGCGTGCTCACTTCAACACAACTCCGCACATAAGTCACATTAAATCGCTAATTTAATCCTTTCATGCACCAATAATGATAACCTGTAACCCGATAACCTGATAACCTGTCCACTGTTGTGACTGTTGTCCCCAAACAATATATATAATAGTGAGTAAAAATAATAAATGATGTCGGGCGGTTTTCATACACACGTCTTAAACGACAGAATTGTTCCACATTTGAGGGGAAATCATTTCCACAATTTCGTGCCTGCTGTCAAGTCTCCACAAAAGCCATGGCTGGTTGGTCATGTGCTCCAATGCTGACTTTTTGCTCTACTATTTATTTACTTCTCTTAAAATTGTAATTTCCAAATATACAACAATGCAGGTGTGATTTAAAAAAAAAACAATCAATAGCAACAAGTTAGATGCAGCTTACTCATGGTAAGTGGCGTTTTTTTTTTAAGAATAGCAACACACACAAAATGTCTCACTAGGCAACAAAAGACAAATCAGCTATTTAACTACTCAACACAGGATGGGTGGATAAATCGATGATATTTCACTCAAATAAATCATTTACCTGTCATCTGGAATCGTTGCAGGTTCCTGAGGTGCTTCACGGTCATCTCAAGGATATCCGCCTTCTCCAGTTTGGAGTGTCTGGAGCTCTAAACCCATTTTATGATTATTTTTTTAGAGTAATCATTTTCTTAATCGGGCGTGTATACGACAGATGTTGTCCACAAAAGCCATGGCTGGTTGGTCATGTGCTCCAATGCTGACTTTTTGCTCTACTATTTATTTACTTATCTTAAAATTGTAATTTCCAAATATACACCAATGCAGGTGTGATTAAAAAAAAAAAAACAATCAATAGCAACAACAAGTTAGATGCAGCTCTTTCATGGTAAGTGGCGTTTTTTTTTTTTTTAGAACAGCAACACACACAAAATGTCTCAGTAGGCAACAAGAGACAAATCAGCTATTTAACTACTCAACACAGGATGGGTGGATAAATCGATGATATTTCACTCAAATAAATCATTTACCTGTCATCTGGAATCGTTGCAGGTTCCTGAGGTGCTTCACGGTCATCTCAAGGATATCCGCCTTCTCCAGTTTGGAGTGTCTGGAGCTCTAAACCCATTTTATGATTATTTTTTTAGAGTAATCATTTTCTTAATCGGGCGTGTATACGACAGATGTTGCGTGGTCTTACATCTTTCTTGAGTGCATCCAAGATGAGCGTCTTTAGGTGGCCCAGACTCTCGTTGATTCGCGCCCGTCTTCGCTTTTCCATAATAGGTTTGGAAGACTTAAAAGTGACACATAGATATACATTTTCATATTGAAAAAAAATAATAATCATGAAATCGGTCACCGAAAGGCAAAGAATAGTCGTATTGAGCTGCTGACCTTTCTGCCCGTCGTCTGACTCCGCGCACTTTCCACCGCGGAGCTCTCACCGGGCGCGGATGAAGTCGTTCGTTCCAAAGTACCGGCCGGCATCTTTCACATGTGTTCCCTTTCCACTCCAGGAAAGAGAAAAAAAAAACGAGTTGAAATCGGGTCCCGCCTTCCCCTGGCAAAGCTCCGAGCGGTTTGACGGTGACAAACGTCCGTTGCCGGCCAAAGTGCCACTACATCAACAGAGCCTGCGGGTCTATTTATAGAAGCGGAGGGGCCGCACGCGAGCGGCTCGTGCGGCCGCTCACTCAAGAGGACCAATGAGAGCTTTTCAGACCACACTCCATTTACTTGCACTACGCTTTATACCGCCAGTTCTCATCAAATTCGATTCAGGAAAAGATCCTTTTATTTTTTTCAGCGTTTTTTTTTAATGTCTCCCAGGCAAAACCAGTCATGCTTCAAGTCCTATTTTCACAAAGTTATGGCTGATATTCCGTCGCAGTAAATGTAATAGAGGCATCAATACACGACTTGCTTGACAGTACAATGCAAACGTAATCTGACAAAAAAAAAATCTGGAATGTGAACAAGCACCACAGTACGTAAAATTGTACACTAATTTACCCCGAGCAAAATTGACATGTAGACGTCGACGATGGAGACGTGAGAAAATATCGTTGGAGGGAGGCGGACTTGATTTCTTTGAAAACGTTCAAATTATAAGGGTGCAACGCGTTCCCGAAAAGATGGGACAAGGTGATATTTATCACTGTGTTACATCACCTTGTCTTTCAACAAAATTCAATAAACGTTTGGGAACTGGGGGGCACTAATTGTTGAAGCTTTGTTGGTGGAATTCTTTCCCATTCTTGCTTGATGTACAGCTTCAGCTGTTCAACAGTGCGTGGTCTCCGTTGTCATATTTTATGCTTCATAATGCGCCACAAATTTTCAATGGAAGACAGGTCTGGACTGCTGGCAGGCCAATCTAGCACCCGCATTCTTTTACTACAAACCCACGCTGTTGTAACACGTGCAGAATGTGGTTGGGCATTGTCTTGCTGAAAGAAGCAGCGGCATCTATGAAAAACACCTTGCTTGGATGGCAGCATATGTTTCTCCCAAATCGTTTCTCCAAAATTGTCGTCACGTACGACCCTCTTGCCATTTACAGTACGTGTCTCTCCGCCATTCACCTGGGCTGCAAACGACACGCTCCACTATCACCTCTGCCCAGACACGAGCTTGTTGGCAGGCAAATGACCACGCTCATCATCAAATGCGGCGAGGGACCCCTTTTAACTACAGGCATGAAAACATCCCCGGACAGGAGGGGAGGGTACAGACAGCGGGATCACTTAAACAACTCATCCAGCGCGCCACTCTCTCCTTCCCCCCTTTGAATTCCCTTTAAATAGGCGAGGGGGGCCCACCCGTAGCAACTCTCAGAGCTGGCTCTACCCGCCTTTTGTCCCCCTCCCAAGCAGCAGTTTCTGCTCCACAAGTCTTAGACAAGGCCTCCATTAATTGCGGTTCTGTATGGAATACACCGGGGACAATGAGCCCAACAGAGTGTCCAGCCCCCAGACAAGACTGGAAACAAGTGGTACAGGAATCCGGCGGAATGGAATCATCCTGGCTGATGTCACTGAATACATTTACCTACCTCAGAGCGCATTCACTTTGCGCTTTGTTTTATTTGAACAAAAACAAAAAAAAAAGGAGCAGGGAAAGGGGAGGGGAGCCCATATCAATGGAGCCGTCAGCGAGGGATCAGGGATGGGAAATAACTGACTGTCATGGCAACGGGTTGAATCCAAAATATGGTCGAATTTAGCGCTAGTAGGGATGTATTAAAAAAAATAAAATATTGGGCGGTGGTAGATTAAACCATGCAGGAGATAAGAGAAGTCTGCAGTGCAGTTTTTGGTGGGCCTGTTTAGACGGCAGTAAAGTGTGCATAAGGGGCAAGGGGGGAGGATTAGGAGACTCCTCCGTGCTCTTGTTTGTCAACATCAAGTCAGCGTATTCCAAGTCGGTCCACTCCCTCACAGGGAATGGAAAAGGAGAGCACAGTATAAATGCTATTTCTTTTCTCGGTGCAGCACAACAGCCCGCCCATCTGCCAAGTCGCCGGTCAGTATTTAGATCATCAGCTCGGAGAGCAGTCTTAGTGAACCCGTTTGAAAGGAGCTCAAGTCATCTCCTCATCCTTCCTCACATTGGAAAACGCTTTTTTCCAGAGTCAAAGAGAGGCCTTGCGTTTAATTTTTAAAAACCCCGACATGAAAGTGTTCCTCCACCGCATTCAGAGGTTTAAAGGACTAGTTACCATGTAGATTATTTGCATTTCAGTAAAGTGTATTTACATGTTAATATGTTCAGGGATACGAACGTCTTGAAAAGGTGCCGGGGGAGGTTGATTAAATGTGCTTTTCTGTCTTTGCTGCATGGGAATGAAGGGCTTTTGTTCTGATGAGGTTCAAACGCATTCCAGTACGCCCACGGAGAGTCACAGCAATAGAGTAACCTATGAACCTGATATCCCTCATGTTTAATACAGGATGTTGATTCGAAATACACTGCAGCATTAGAACTCCTAACGGTTTGGAGGGGAGCAACTCAGATTTTTGGCAGATTAGACACTGGTCTGGCCAAATTTTTTTATTTGGATTTTTTTTTTGTAGGATAAGAATCACAATAACGTTGCATCCCCAGAAAATAAATTGTATAAATACAAGATAAAATGAACTGTAAAATACATATTTTTTAACCAAAACGTCCTACAGATTTATGTGATTGGTTATTCATGAACTCAAATTCTAAGTTTAGACGACCTTGAAGGCTGGAAAAGAACCCTCATTTCCTGTCGCTGTATCCTAAGATTAGATTTTCCCATGAAAGATCATGATTTAAATACTTTAAAAATGTTGAATGTTTTATGTATTTGTGTTACTTGTTATCCCAAATATACAATCGTTGAACATAAAAAAACAAATAAAAAATTATTAAAAACGGGTTTTTAATTGGGGGGGTTTCATTCGTCCAGCTTAACCCATTGTGTCTGCTGTATTTTTTCTCTTTTCAATGCATCCACATAGAATTGCCTCTTCTATTTTGGCATGAGTAACCCGCGCTCGAGAGAGGACCCGCAGCTAACCGGCACGCGGTGCTTATCCTTCGCCGCGCTTAGGCCGAGAGCCACGAGAGTGTTTGCGTTAGGATTTATGAAAGTGAAGATGGCTCATTCATGGCCGTCAAGATGGCTCACAAGACCAGCGGTTTGGCCACTTACGCATTGAATGCAGCCCAGGGGGATGCCCTTTCAGCACTGGAGGACCTCTGGCTGAGTCCCCTTCACACGGGAGATCAGACTCACTTGGGAAAAAGTCCCCGCTCTCAACGGCGAGCTGCCCAGAGCGACGGCGCCCTCTTTCCCTTCTTCACCTGCCGGCTTAGCGCTCATCACTTATGCACATAATCCCTGGTTAGCGCATGTGATCCACAAGTGCCAGGCCCCGGGTCCCTGGCTCCAGAGCTCGCATGCTTCCTGGGTGGCTCTTGGGTGGCCATGGTAACGCTCATCTTCTCATGACAGTCAGACCTCATGGCTCTAAATCCCTCTCGAGGTTTTGTCTGTCTATTTCTGTTCGGAGCTTTCTGTCACTGAGATCCCGCCTCTGTTTGCGTTGCTTATTTTGCTCTATCCGCGGCCGGCCGTCTCTGTACTTTATTTCAGTAAAGTCTGTAAAATCCGTGTTTCCCAACATTTACGGTGACAAAGGCACATTGATTTTGGCCGGTGATGCATGAGGCAATCGTGTCGGTCGGATCTACGTGGACATCAAGTCTCGACATTTTTAGTGGAAGTAGGACTAATATTATGATTATCCCGGAATCGTTGGCATTTTGAATCGAACAACGAAACGGTGGGTCAACTCAAATGCACACAAACAACTAACATTAGCATCTACACAGTATTTTCTATACCAAGCGAGCGTGTGGGTCCGCAACAGGCGCATTGTAAACACACACGGCACACCTGCTGCTAATCCGAACTGGTTTAAGCTTCTGTCTGTCTACGCCGGATGTTAGCCCATCAGCAGAAGCCAAGTGTATATACTCTTTTCCGCTCTTGTGCAATTTTTATAAAAGAATACTTTTAATTCATACCATACCAAAGTCAATGAAAAAAATATACAAAAGTGAAACGTTCATAGAAATCAACTTCTGGCATTTCACATTTTAAGCTAGCGGACAATGGCACATCAATGCTACACTGAAGTTCACGTCCAGTGTAAGCATCACTGAGAGCGCTGAAGGCCTGGCCTTATTTTATTGCAAGCCCGATAAGTAAACTGAGATCGTGAGACACAGTCCGCCAAACTTCTTTCTGAGTGCGGATCACCTTACCCCAATGATAAACCGGCAGTTTGTTTAAAACATCGTACGGGGCCCCCGGGGGAGAGCCACGGAGGCGAGCTCGGAATAGTGTGTGGCCCCACAGTAACAAGCGTGACAGTGATGTGAGCCGGTACACCCCCTGTGTGAACGCCATGTGAGAGGCGGCTCCATCCGTGCCCCTGCCACCTCCGCACAAGGCCCTCCATTGACTTCTAACCTGTTGCGGGACCAGAAGAGACAAAGAGCCAGGGGGCGGGGCGTGTCCCTCCGACAAGACTGTGAACAAATGTTAACACGGCTGCAACTGTCCACCCCCTGAATCACTGAATTTATTGACCAACCACAGAGCCCATTCAGGCACCGATAAAGAAAGGGGATGCGAGAAGGTCCACGGAAAAGGAACGCATGCTCAAGGGTTTCGCGGCCTTCTGGTGGGTCACGGACCTTTCAGCGGACGAGGTCGCCTTTGTGTCTTCTGTAAAATGAAGACGACCGTAAGTGAGCATCAGGTTGGCCTTGTGTGCCGACTATTAATATGGACGAGAGCCTTACGAGCACCCACCCAGACTGATGTCGGGCTGAAGTCGAAAAGACGTGCACGAGCAAGTAAAAAAAAAAGGCATGAAAAAAAGCCCTGAAAGCGCTGCCGGAGGTGCTGTAAATAAAGACTGCTGGCATTGTCTCAAATCTTGAAAGTGCACAGCTTTCAGACCAAAAAAAAAAACGTATGGGCCAAAGAGAAGAAAGATGAAGTTCAAAATGTTTGAAATAGCACAAGCTTGAGAAAATCTTTTCCAGGGGGTGGCTTGCTGTGTGAAAGAAAGGCTGTGTGTTTTGGCTTCTTTATA